TCGTGGAATGTGATAATCGGCTCGAAAACTGTTTCAATAACTGCTATTCTGGATAACCATAATATCTCATGTATTAAGATTCTGGGCGATTCGAATGTTCGAGCAAGAACGAGGTTGTCGCTCTGAGAGACCGTGGGGCACTCCATTTGCCCAAATTCTGGACGTCTTGCAAGCTTGAGTGATGATATTATTGTGTTCGTGGGGTTCCTCTGCATTCACCAATAACCTTATTTGGACATTTATCATGGACACTCCAATTGGGTTTCACTTTTAGGGCTGTACTTTTAATGTGTCAACAACATCAATTCACAATGCAATTCATAGAATGCTTTCATAAATCACAGAGACAACAATACTGGAACTAGAAGCTAAAGCAACTCAAAAAATACTTCATGCAATTGTCGCATCATGTTGAATTGATTCAAAAAATATGAATTAAATGCAAGATTAATACAAAGTTTGAATTCATATATTTAAATTTTCAAAAATAAACACGTATGCATGTAGTTAATCATTCCAATGAGATACTGCCAATTTTTTTTTTATATAGAAAAGTATTCGCATTTTCATTTTCACAAACATCTTGGATACAACAATTGAATTGATTAATAAAATATATGAATTAAATGCAAAATTAATACAATGTTTGAATTTGTTTATTTAAATTTTCAAAAATATACATATATGCATCTAATTAATTGTTCCAATAAGATATTGTGACTTTTAAAAAAAAGTAATAGAATGTTACTTTTTCATATTCTCATTTTTACAAACATCTTGGATGCATAAATTGAATTGATTCAAAATTAATTTTTTAAATGTATTAATCCAATTTATTTCCTCAAGATAACAATGTTATTTTGAAATATTCTTTTCAATGACAGTATCAAAAATTCAATTTTCATATATACTAACTCATTACTATTAATTTATAGTTGAATTTTCATGTATCGGAAGTTCGGATGAAAAAAGAATAACGAAAGCGGGAAAAAAAATGTCTTTTATATTTGTCTCACCTTTGACGGAAAAAATGCATCTAAAAACAAACAAATACCTCAAAAACTTCAAATTCATAATTTAGAGTGTGTTTGTCTTTCATTATTGAGAAAAAAATAGAGTAATAAATAGTATTTTTTTTGTAGAATGTGTGGTTGAAATTTAAAATAACTTTATTGGTTTGTGTGTAGAATATTTTATTGGGTAAATGTGTGGTGGATAATATCACTATAGCAAACAATTTCTTAGAATAATGGTACAAACGGGGCTTTAAATTGCAACATCTTTTAAGATAATTTATCTGGAAAAAATGAACTTTTAATTAATACAGGAGAATGAAATTAAAAATAGCAGATGAAATCATTATTGAAATTGAAAAATTGGATTTGAAAACTTTCATAAAAATCATAAAAAAAAAAATGAAAAATGAGCAACTTTTAAATTTTGTAAAAATAACATACTTGAATT